TATATCTGACACACGCAAAAGATCGACGGTCGCGACCCATTTTCTCACTCAAGGGGTGTTCTGGGGCCATCAAAAGGCTCCATTTTCACGCCCGAAAACACATATACAATAAAAACAAAAGAACGTGCATCATCTGCAGCCCGATAGCAAAACATATACTGAGTCTCAAAAGAATCCGTCCACTCAAACGCGAGGAATCGCTGCGAACGTGAAATTCTAAAACTCTCACAAAGCCCTTCCGCGGAAGGATGTCTCCTCCCCCGGAGGCAATAAGGAAGGATGTTGGATCCACCCATACCTTAGATCGCAGCGCTCCACGATGTAGCTTGTGATGGGAGATCCTCCGTCGTCCTCCGGTTCCTGCCAACCAATCATGGCGTGGTCGGGACTCTTGTTTCAATCACCTCAAAGTTTGTAGGCGGCTGGGGTTTGGCTAGTGAATAAAGAAAGAATAAAAAAACACCATGAAAAACATAAAACATCACAGTGTCTACATAGGAAGACCAGACTGACTGGTCAAAAGCTCTAGGTAAATTACCTTGTGTTGGATCAAAACTTTTTAACTCTTATATAGTATAACAAAACAATGAGTTGAACTTAACATAAAAATGATAACAAATGCACTGCTTTTCTTGCTACCTTTTCTTATAAAAATTTCCACAGTATTAAATGAAGAAAATATGTAAACAGTAAATAAACAGTAAGTTCTGTTGCCACTTACAGAAGACCTGTAGCTTGCCTTAAAACAATCTCTGCAGTATTTCAGTGAAGAATAAATAAACAATAACTTCTGCAGACACTTACAGAAGACCTGCAGCTTGCCTTAAAACAATCTCTGCAGTATCTAATTGAAGAATAAATTAATAAACAATAACTTCTGCAGACACTTACAGAAGACTTGCAGCTTGCCTTAAAACAATCTCTGCAGTATTGAGTGAAGAATAAATATACAATAACTTCTGCAGACACTTACAGAAGACCTGCAGCTTGCACTTGGCCTCCGCCAGTCCGGAGTCGTTCTTGACCCTGACGTTGTACTCCCCGGCGTCCGAGCGCGTGCACTCCAAGATGGTGAGCACAGCGGCACGATTTGTCTTCTCGAATTTGTGCCTCGCCATCTTGGATACCATGCGCGCGCCGCGGTTCCAGGTGACTTCTGGGAAGGGTTTCCCGCTGACGGCCGCGGTGAACACGGCGGTCTGACCCTCCTTTACGTGGATGTTTGCCTTGCCCTTGCTGTTGCTGTTCCTCTCGCGACGCTCAGAGGTGTAGCCGGTGATCTCGGCTCCCCCGTCGCTCTCAGGTGCGTGCCACGACACCAGCATGGCGTCCTTGGTCACCTCAGACACCTTCAGGTCGTACGGAGGTGTTGGTTCATCTGGGAAAATAGGGTAAAGGAGTTTGTTACTTTCCATATCTGAATTATGAACCTAACTCACAACAATTATCATTCATTCACCTGAAAATTATCCTTTCTTTACTTGTAAGCAAATGTTGTAACTTCATGTTTTCATCTGGTGGTGAATTTTCTGCTGCTGTGAGTCAAAGTCTATGGTATGGAATTCTGGATACATGTAAAGGAGTTCATAAGTTAACATTTGAGCTACATGTATAGAATATAAATGGCTTGGGATCGATCAAATTCCACCTGCAAGTTTTGAACTCACCATATGGATATTTGGCCACAGCAGACTCTGAAGTCAGCGGCTTGCCGACGCCGAACCTGTTCTCAGCGCTGACTCGGAACAGGTACTCCTTCTTGTACACCAGTTTGGTCACACGCAGACAGCAGCGTTTCACGTTGCTGCTCACGTACACCCACGATGCACCGCGGTTGTCGGACTTCTCCACCACGTAGTTCGTGATGTCACCGCCGCCATCGTCCGTCGGGACCTGCCAGTTCAGCGTAGCCGTCTCGGGTGTCATGTCCTCGAAGGTGATTGGTCCAACGGGCGGGCCAGGCTTGCCAAGAACCTGTGGCACATCAGTAAGAATATTGGCATGATTTACTAGAATCAGCTGATGATGCAGCATATATTTTAGTCTCTGTAGTTTTTGTTGAGTCAATAAAGTATATCTCTATCTTTTAGTCAGATTTGCAGAAATTTCAAGAATCAAAATTTTAGTGTAGGAGCAAAATGAACCAAGAGTGCTCATTAATGAACTACCAAAGAAAAACATATCAAGTTGATATTTGAATGTTTCTTTCAAGGTTACAAACTAAAAACAAACGTTTCCTATTTTCCTGTTTCTGCTGACAAAAATGACACAATCTTAACACATTGATTAGATTTTCTGAAGAGTGCTGACTTTAAGATTACATTATCTCACATGCAAGTAAATAATAGCGTCACAATCTCTTTTGCACATGGATAGTTTTCAAAGCCCCACCTTAAATTGGTTAGATTCTCTGAAGAGGACTGACTTTTAGGAACATCATCTCACATAGAAGTTAAGAATAGTGCTACAATCCCTTTCGCACTGAATCTTACATGATAAATTTTCAAAGACCCACATGCTGCATAAGACAGCAGACTGGTGTGGTGGTACATGTATATCATACATGCTCAAGTGTTAACAGTGTCTTTGCCAAGCCCCACCCTGAACTGGATCTCAGCAGTCTGCTTCCCGGCTGGGTTGGCCACCACGACCGTGTAAGTCCCGCCGTCGACCTTCTCGCACTTGCGGAAGATGAGCTGCGTGACGCCGCCGACCGTCTTGGTGACGACGCGTATGGTCTCACGGAAGACACCGAGTCCCTTGTAATATGATAATAACAATGGTTTTTATTGGTCAAACACCACCCTTTCTTCAAAGTGCTGAATTGATGCAGGGCTTACAATCACTGAATACAGAATACAAACACTGGTCACTTTAAATTTGGAAAAGACACCAACAATTGGAAAATCAAGCAGTGTAACTGTAAACCCTTAAGTGTGGTATCAATCTAAAGCTCTCATCATCAGGCACTCTTCATGTGAAAATCAATGATCAGTGATGTTTATAACTCCAGTTATGATTGATTGAAAATGCTTGTGGCCTACCAGGCTGAGATCTTGGCCTACTAGTCTGAACTATGTGGCCTGGACGGCCAGATTCTGTGCCCACTGTGCTTAACTCCCAGGGCTACCAGTTTGACCTACTTAGGCTAGACGGCCGTGAAAGCCTAAAACAACACAGACTACTAGTCCTGTTCTGGACTGGTAGGCTGCCGGGATAGGGTGTCCTGGCGTGTAACCTGCAATTTTCCATCTGTCCACTAGGGCTACCTGATAATCTAGACTACCAGTCTGAAACTTCAGCCTGAGAGGGCCAGAACCAGAACCACTGGGCTGAGCCTTCAAACACACACAGGCATATGCACATGATGTAGAATGTCTGTGTGCTTATGCTAGATTGTAGTTATTAGTACTATTGTTTCAAATCAGTGGCCTGTTCAGAGTTTACTTATGCAATTTTGCCACTGTGACAGAAAATTAGTTACTGTAACAACTGCATAATTCTTCTGCTTGCAAGTTGGCAGCTTTTAGAAAGCACGATTTGTGAACTCTTACATTAATTTATAAACAAGTGAGCGTGCAAACCTATATCAAGGTGGAGAGATACATGTACAGTACAATTGTCATTTTAATTTAGTGGATTGGGCATGTACACTACATGTATGTGGTGTCCATGAGGATGATTTGCTACATGCCCTTGACCCAATGGCAGTCCCTCCACCCCCCAAATCTGCTTTTCTCACCAACACATTCCACAAGAAGGTGCACTCCAAGAGTGACAGGGAAAAATGCACCTTTTCACAAGGGAAATCATGGATCATGCCCAAAGATGCTGGTCATCCCTGTGCGTCTTACCATACCAGGATCCAACTGAGAAAACACAATTAGCTCTGCTGGTATCATATATCCCTTGGCGGGAAAGTTTGAGCGGGGAATCTTGCTGTTTTTGACCAACAAGCCCGGTGACTTACTAACCCAGCGCTCAGACTGCTTCAGGTAAGCCATCTGTTTATTTTCTGTAGATCTGTGTTTGTATGATGTATCTGTTCAACACAAATACATGCCTTATATTGTGTAAATGGTACGTACATGACTTTGTATAGGGTGGTTGAGTGAGCCAATTCTACAGTGTATTGACTCGAGCCCTTTCCCATATGCTGGGACTGACAAACATGAAGTGAATGGGAGATTCACAATGAAGTTTCAAGCCATGATGGAATCAAGAGTTACTATCGTATAGAAGAAAAAGGACATTATGAATTAAGCTAGAGATGTAAATTTAATTAACAGTCTTTGAAGAAATAGTCCTGAACTTGAATGGTAATTAGAAAGTCGTCCAGCATTGATATCTGAGACGTTCAGAACACTGACTTATTTTTGTATCTGATCAAAGAATATATTAAGCATAGTCAATTTACTCAATACACTAAATTTTACTGATCATTTTAGTTTCTTTTTTTTGTTTCATTTTTCATTTGTTTTCATTTTTGTGCAAAGACTGAGAAATAGAGAATGATCTTTGGAATTCTGGACAGACATCAAGGCAAGTTGCAATTGTAAAACCAGAACTTGGAGACTGAATGAAATACATGTAAGTTTCCACTGGCCATCTTTCCTCAAACATCAAGAATCTGTAAAAAAAAGGACAGCGCGACTCCGAGAAACAACAAATTAAATTGGTGTGGCCTAAGGATTGAAAGAAGCTTCAGTGAAGCTTTACCCAGCTTCACTGTCACAGTGGCAACAGTGACCTAGATATGTCAATGGTCTGTGACAGGTCTATTCCATGTAGTCCCTAAAGCAAATCCCTCAAGCAAGAAGACCAGATCTCCTGCCTCTGAGATGTTAGGACTCTTTTCCTAGCCTGGGTTCCAAACCCAATAGCACACTGGACACTGAGATACTTTGTGTCCAGTGTGCTATGGGTTTGGCACCCAGGCTACTATTTTCCTAGTTCCAAAGTATTTCATTTTTCACAGATTAAGTAGTTAGGACTACACGCTGCTTCATGCATGAGTTCCAGACCCTTGCAATTAAGCCCCAACTACTAGTAATTGTAAGCTCCCCACATTTCAGCCCTTGACTGCAAGAAGACGGAATATACATAAATTCACCCTCACAATACAATACAAATATACATTGTGTACTATGTATATACCACCAATACGACATGTTTTATACCCGGGTACCCATCAGGAACTCGGTCTGTGGTATCAAAACATGCAGTGTCATGGCATAAGAGAAAGGGAAGTTCACTGTCAACTGTGCTGACATAGAAGATGTAATTATTCCTCCCACTCAGGTTACACATTTGATAAAAGCTCTGTCCTGAGATGATCTATTTTTCACCTAAATGGTGCATTGGTATAATACCCCAGGCCTACTTTTAATAACACCCTTTCTAAACCATATTATGAGCCTAAAAATATACAAACAGAAATTGACTTGATGGACAAACTGAGACAGAAATTAACCTCAAGGACAGATTTCTTGTAACTTTTTAAAATTTCCTAGGTATTTTCTTTTCCTTTCAATACTAAGTGCAGCTGAGCAAAATGTATGACATTCATGCTGATACATGTATGAAGCCATAATTGCCTACCCACAAAAATTATGACAGTTATTCTGTACAATGTACAATCATGTACATGTACTTTGCTCATAGTCTACATAACATGATGGCTAGGGAATCAAAATATCAGACATGACATTGACCTTACGTAAAATAATGGACTTTTTCAGAGAAAATGGCCTACAAGTGGTGCCTGTTAGACAATGGGCCAGATGGAATGGATCTAAAATTCATGGCGTCAAAGGTCAGGTACTTCTCAGACCTTGGTGTTCCTGTTTCAAGGATCAGTGTGCCGAAGAACAAAAGCATTACATCTGTTACGGTAAGACAATTTCTGTAATGTTAATTTTTTAATAGAGCATGTTTAAGCTCCAGAACTCCAGAACAGTAACAGAAGTCAACCATTGTGTGCAACAGTGTCAGGTCAAGTCTGACAGGGTCCGGACCTACCAGTTAGTGTTGGGTTCATGAGTTGACATGCCGAATTCAGTGGGTTCGATGTTGTGTGTTGTTGTTACAATTAATGAAATATTATGTTTACATTTTTGTTTGCAAATTGATACCAACGTTAGCACGGTATAGCGTTAAAGATTTCTGGTATCAACCTGTCTTATGTGTAAAACCCTTTTACACTCTTTAGTTCCACGGCCCTTCCAGCTCAAGTGGACCCACTAAAACACTGACAGTGGCCCTTGAGAACTACAGCAGCCCTGAGGCTTGTGAGGAAGACAGAAATTGTTTTTCTGGTGAACTGTCATCATCTATGACGCAGGCAGAGTTCATCAGGAAATTTAATAAGATTAAGGATGGTGTTTTCAGTGACAGTGTAAGTTTTACATGCATTCTCCTTTCAGTATCAGTTAGTTAGTTCTTGCTGTATAATGTTAACATCAGGTGACTGACATATGTTTACCTGACATGTACATGTATACACTAACTCTGTAAGGCATTATGCCTTTCCTTGAAGGTGTTTTAAGAGTTTTAAGAATTCTTCTGGTTTATTGACTGGCCCAATGCTTCTTGATCATCAAAGCACATGAAATTTAATGCAAAATAATGTACAATAATACCTTGCTGTAAAGTCAGTTTGTTGTTATAGGTTAAGTACAATTGTCTTCCAAATTTCTGGCTTACATTTTAATTAAAATCTTTATAGGAGCTGGGCCGACAGCCACTGCAGGATTTAGGAAACAACAAGAAGACAGGTACATGTATTAGCTTGCTTTATACCTACTGAATGTATAATGTATTTTATTTCTTCTGTTTGATCAAGGAGGTTTACTCTGGTCTCTATTAAACCTCCTTGCTTTGATTCATACCTGTTCATCTGCATTATGAACAAAGAATGGGACAGGTCTGCTTTTACCAAGGAGCTTTCATCACGATGAAAGCTCCTTGCTTTTACTTTAGGCCTTTTATTTAGTGGTCTTAGCTTTAGAATTCATTAATGTAAGACAAGGGCATTGAAGGTCTTACATCGTGCACCATCAGGGTCAGCGGCTGGGCAGACCACCAAGCCAGCCGCACTCGCCGCTGGGCAGACCACCAAGCCAGCCGCACTCGCCGCTGGGCAGACCACCAAGCCAGCCGCACTCGCCGCTGGGCAGACCACCAAGCCAGCCGCACTCGCCGCTGGGCAGACCACCAAGCCAGCCGCACTCGCTGCTGGGCAGACCACCAAGCCAGCCGCACTCGCCGCTGGGCAGAACAGGGCAGGCAAGCCGCTGTCGGCAGCTAAAGGTATTTTGTCCTGTTTACTAAGGCATTTGGAAGACAGTGCAATATTGACATGTGAAGTCTCAGCTAAAATTTGCAGCCATTTTCCCTACTGTCAATGAGATACTTCCTTCATTATGTAAAATTGATGTAACTTGTTGGAAATTGAATTGTCAGTTTATAACTGCATCTTTTTATGAAGGTAAACAAAGAAGAGACTTCCAACAGGCAGTAATTGCCATGCGCCAAGGATGTGTTGAAGCCATGGGGGAAACAGCCTACGAGGAGCTGGACATGAACAAGTTGCTTCCTGGACCAACAAGTGCTGAAGAAAAAGCAAGATGGCTGGAGATCCTCGGCTGCACACATGTAATTATACAATTGTCTCCTAATATTCTGTAATAGTTGTAAATGTGTCTACATGTATATCATAATATCATATCAACAGTAGCGTGAAACACATTGAAAACAA